CAGCTAGTATGCAAACACCGATGGTCTTTGGGCACTAAACATCCCAACTTCACCAACAATGCAAGTCTCAAAGGGGCGTACAAGATCCCATCCGCTAACAAAACCGGAGATATAGTTGCGAAAGGAGCTATAGACAACGAGGCATCAATCTACTTATGTTGCAAGCCCTTTAACTTACTTTGACTGGAAATATAAATAGAGAATTTGGGAATCTGGCGAAGAGAACACAGTTATGATGACCTTAAGGTTTGAGGATTTACTGTTCCTGACTTAGCTATATGACTGATATGACCAAGTCACCGATACTTATGTAGCGAGAAACATGCGCCAATATTTGAACACGATTGCCAATTATATGCCCGGAGACAGAACCAATAGTAGTACATACTCAAAAAACTCATTTAATTGCCCCTATACGCCAATAAACATTCAGACAGAGAGGGAATCATATCGTCCGAGTCAAACAAACTGGATAAGGGTAAAAAAAAAGAAAACACATGAAGTAGAAGGAAGCTGAACTGCCTCGTCAGCATGCTTAAAATGCCACAGAAGATGATGAAAGCATTGGTAACCCTCTAAGCAGAAGCACCCCGCAGCAAAGCCTTCTCAACATCCTCAAGCAACCCAATCAACTCCTTCCCACCCTCCGAATCCCTACCCTCAATCTCAAGCCCCTTGGCCAAGAACTTCTTAGACTCCTCATACCGCGCCATCTCCGCCAAGCACTTAGCAATCCGCCACCAAGCCTTGACATTAGCAACAGGCTTGGAATCCACACTGCACTTGCCGTCAACAAGACCCTCAGGCCAAGCCTGCTTGGCCATATGTGCCTGCGCACGGTTCGCATAAAGAGCAGACAACTCCTCGCGCGTAAGGGTGACAGGTTCCCAGCCCGGTCGGGCGATGCCCATCTCAATGGCGTACGTGTACAGTCGGATGGCCTCGTCGTAGTTTGATTTGCGGTATGCGGCGTTGGCGGTGTCGCGGAGTTTGTTGATTTGCGCGCCGCGCTTGGGATTGATTGGGAGGGGAGGTGGGGGAATGTTGGGTGGGTCGAGAGTTTGGAGGGAGCGGTGGAGTTGGTTTAGTTCTTCCAGTTCGGCGGTGATGTCGGCTTTTTGGGCGGGTGTTTGGGCGGATGTGGCGATGAGGGAGATGGCTTTGGAGGCTGGGTCCATGTGCAGTGGATATTCATTGAAGATGTCAATTTCACTGGCCATTTTGAAGGTTGGGTGACCCGTTCAGGCCTTGAGTTGGATTTGGTGAGCGGGTTTAATTCTGGGGTTTGTTAGTACATGCGCTGCCGTGACTTCAAATGTGCTCCGAGAGGGCCATGATGTAGTAGTTGTTGGGGATAGGGGATGCGGTCTCCTACTTTGTACTGTTTGATATTGGTGATCGAACCAATCAACAGAGCAATGTTCCCTTTAAACTCGAGACTCGTGGTTGTGATTGTCTCACAGGGTGACAAGAAGGCAAGCTGTCCATAAACCCACTGATATCAAAGGCGGTGGCAGAAATCCAGGTACATAATATGAAGTAGTACAGTAACAGCCCTAGTTCTCGACAGCCATTGACCCAGGCCAGCGCTACGGCGTCTACTTCCCTTCCTATTGATCCTTTGTCTGTATGTATATGTCCTATTGGTATATAATGTGTGTATCCTTTGAAACAAGGTATTCACATAGGGCCTAGTTGCATGGGGTATTCGCAATGAAGCTAAAAATTAACATAAATGGCCAGAAGAAGAAGAACGGCCCACAGGTCACTAACAATACCGCTTAATGGAAGATAACTCAATGTGCACGAGGATAAGAAGCTTCACTGTATTATCAGAATTCGCGAACCACCACTGCGCGTTTGTAACCAACTGTGGCCAGGGTTGCGAGAGAGCTGTCTAAATAAGATTTGACTGCTGTAGAGTACAGATAGAGAGAGTGTGTGTGTGGAAAGATGAAAGAACGACAAAAGAAATAAGGGGGAAGAAAATATATGTGAAGCAATCTAGGTAGGAGACAGGCTACATATTTATATTTCTCTGGGGCCTGAGACCATAATTCTCGTGGGCTAGGACCGTATGTTTTTATAACAGGATATTCAATTATGACATATCTAAAGACAAGTGAAATACTAACGTTATACTGTAACGTTGTAAGTTACGGGTTCAACTTGAACTATGAGTTACTTCCGATTAGATACAGCTTGGCTATTTCCCTGGGCGGTCACCAGGGCGGTGAAAATCTGAACGCTTATCTGCCGCGGGGGTGTGGATTTCTAAGCGGGGAGTTGCAAAAAAAGATCGAGCGCATTTCATCTTGCCTCAACAACACGCATATTTCTTGTTTTCATTCTTTGAAGCAAGTCCTATTTAGCTGCGGCCATCTCCTCAGCTTCAACCACTTTCATCTACATCGAAATAAAAACACCATCTTAATTGTCATCCAAAAATGTCGTCCAACGAGCACCGGGAGACTGAGGATGACGCCTACATGCAGGCAGACGACGCCGAGGAGGTCTTCGACCATGATGAAGACCATGACATGGACCTTGAAGGAGAGGATGAGGCCGACCAGAACATGATCATTGAAGATGAGATCCATTTCCAGAACGACTCTTCGGCACACTTCGACTCGCACTCAGACTCTGTATTTTGTGTTGCGCAGCACCCCATTCACAACAACATCGTTATTACCGGTGCGGGTGACGACACCGCCTATATCTTTGACTCGACACCCCAAGAGCGACCCGTGTTGCCCTCGAGCTATGAAACCACTCCCCAGCCCAGAGAGCGTGAGGCTCTGCAACCTATCGCCAAGCTGGATGGACACAGTGACACCGTCAATGCCGTTACTTTCACTGAGCCCGCCGGCGAATACGTCGTGACCGCTGGTATGGACGGCAAGCTCCGAGCTTGGAGGGATACCACTCCCCAGAAGAACGGATATGCGTGGGAGTTCTTTGGTGAGGCTCAGGAGGTCGAGGAAATTAACTGGATGGCGGTGTGCCCTCACAAGCAGGGTGATGATGGCAAGCAAAATGTCATTGCCATCGGCGCCAATGATGGCAGCGCTTGGGTCTTCCGTATTGATCACACCGACCCCGCCCAGCCCATCTCTATCATTCAGACCTTCTTCTCGCACACCGCATCCTGCACCGCCGGTGCGTGGACACCGGATGGAAACCTGTTGGCTACAGTCTCCGAGGACGGAAGCTTCTATGTATACGATGTCTTTGGAGCCGCTGCCGCTGCTGGTATCTCTTACTCCCCTGGTACTAACGCTGTCCTTGGTTTGACTGCGGAGGACCAGCGTTTCGCAGTCGAAGGTGGTCTATATGCCATCGCAATCTCCCCCAGTGGTGGTATTGCCGCGGTGGGTGGTGGCGAGGGTCACATCCGAGTCGTTGGTCTTCCTCGCATTGCAGCCGCCGCACCAGCGGCAAAGGGCAAGGGACCTCTCCCGCAAGCAGCCGGTGCTACCGCTGCAGGGACCATCATGGCTGCGCTGCAGGCTCAAACAGATGGCATCGAGTCCCTCTCTTTCTCTCAGCCTCCATTCACCCTTCTTGCTTCTGGATCCGTTGATGGTTCCATTGCGCTTTATGATGCGGCCCACAGGTTCGCCGTCCGTCGCCATATCAAGGAGGCCCACGACGGCGCTGCCGTTGTCAAGGCCGAGTTCCTGCCTAGTCGCTCGCCTCTGGCAGCTCCTGTCCCAGGACCTCTTGCTTCCGCGCCTGCAGCGAACCAGAACCGGTCTTGGATGCTCACCTCCGTCGGTTTGGATGGCGTTGTTCGACGATGGGACGCACGCGGTGGTACCGCTGCTGCTGGCCAGGGACTGATGCGGGAGTGGAAGGGTCACATGGGTGTCACCGAGAACGAGGATGGCGAGCAAGCTGGTGGCATCATGGGCTTCGTACAGGGCCTTGATGGAAAGCGTATCGTCACAGCAGGTGACGATGGCATCTCGCTGGTTTTCGAAGAATAATCTGCTTCAAAAAGTAAATAGATTTGGATGTTCCCAAAATTGCATAGTTGGGGCTCATGTCGATAATGATATTACGTGTTTATAGAAGGGATCAAAGCGATATCAGCTTTGTGACTCTCAAAATATTCCTGGCGCACTTAATGATCGAACAGTAAAGAAATATATCGTTGTAGTGGAACAAAAGCTATGTACATTCGACAAATCAACAGACCCAAAGCGCCATCTGGAAGCTAAACTTCTCATGAGGCATGAAAAGCTGCATCTCCGCCCTGACACGACGAACGCTCCTGGGTTCAACAAAGCCGTAGGTTCTTTCATCCGAACCCGATAGTGGATCTCACGGAGGCGAGTCGACTCTTTCTCGTCGTCTGGGGTATACGTCCTCCACTCGATGATCCGTCGGCCGGCGGTTTTCTCAATAGATCTCCAAGAACAACAGTTTAGTGGTGGGCCTCGCCATGGTGGGAATCACCGTGGTGGTGGTCATCCTTCATGAAGAAGTGCTCGTATGCGCAGTAGGCAGTGAAAGCGACAGTCGCGATACCGAAGCCGGGGAAGAGACCCTTGAAGCGGTTGAAGCGGCTGAAGGGGCCAGTGTAGCGCCAGGTCTCACTGTAAAAGGTCAGCATTGATACAATTGGCATGGTCTCTTGTGTGTTTAACATACTTGCGAGCCCATGGGTCCCGCTTGGCCCAAACCGAAGATGGGGAAGCCGCGGCCTTGAACTGGCCGACGTCGAAACCGGTGGGGTTGCGGGCGGGCATTTTGCGAGCTGTTAGAGAAACGTAACGAAAAGTGAGGAAAAGAACAAAAGTAGAGATAGAAAGTGCTTGGGGTTTGTCCCGTAATCCGCGATCGACCACAAGTAACGCTGTGAGGAGCCGGATGTGAGGAAAAGAGGTGTGCTTGGCAGAAAGCATCCACGCTAACCGCTTACGGACTACACATAGCTTTCCCGCCTTCGAGGGACGAAACTGTCACTTCATCCATGCGCAACCTCGAATCACACAATGCCACCTCCCGTCGGCAGATACGGGCCATCTGGCCTAGCTACTCCTTACACCCTACAGCAAGCTCACCTTCAATCTCAGCACCCCGCACACGCATCAGCCAATAGCCTACCACCCCCTTCGCTTGGGCATCCAGGCTTCGCGGGCAACCCCAACACCAACATCAACCCTTTTACTCTGTCTGGCGCCAGTATTGCGAATGGCATGGCTGTGGGTGGCTTTCCAGGGGCTGGTGCGAGTGATGGTGGGGGCACCGGTCTTGCTAGCCATGCAGCACAGATGGGATTCGCGCGCGGTGCGCAAATGCAACAGCAGCAATTACATCAAGGTCATGACGGTCGTTTAGCACTCGAGAACAAGGCTGGTGCAGCGAAGTCACGGATAAGAGATGTCTGGAAACACAACTTGGCACATGAGATGGCAGTGTTGAGACAGTTGGTTGACAAGTACCCATACATCAGCATGGTAAGGACTTGATTCTTCGGAACAGTCGAGCGAAGCTCGCTCCGATGTTGAACTGCGACTTACTGGTTTTGATTTCAGGATACCGAGTTCCCCGGAATTGTTGCACGACCGATCGGTTCGTTCTCGAATAAAGCAGACTACCATTACCAGACTCTCCGATGCAACGTCGATCTTTTGAAGATGATTCAGCTCGGAATTACCCTGTTCAATGATGAGGGAGAGGTACCGCCAGCCTCCGGCATCGATGCCAATGGACAACCCTACGGCAATGCAATGATGCCCGCACCTTGCACATGGCAGTTCAATTTCCGGTTCTCGCTAGAAGGAGACATGTACGCTCAAGAATCAACAGCAATGCTCGCAAAGTCCGGAATCGATTTCGCCATGCACGAGAAGAACGGAATCGATCCTTTTGAATTCGGTGCTCTGCTGATCAGCTCTGGGCTGGTGCTTCTGGATGATGTTCACTGGGTTTCTTTCCACTCTGGATACGACTTTGGCTATTTGATGAAGATCATGCTCTGCTCTCAGCTCCCCGAGAATGAGGAGGAATTCCACAAGCTGCTCACCATCTTCTTCCCCTCTCTATACGACATCAAGTACCTCATGAAGCACGCCGGACGCAACCAAGCAGTCAACGGCTCTCCTCTCACACCCGCTGCGGCACAGATCCTCACCAACCTCGGACAGAAATCTGGTCTGCAAGACATTGCCGATGAACTCGGTGTTAAGCGCATTGGAATCGCTCACCAGGCTGGGTCCGACTCCCTCGTGACGGGCGAGATTTACTGGAAGACTCGCCAACTCATTTTCGGCGGCGCGATCGATGACAGCAAATACTCCGGCCAGATCTGGGGTCTCAACGGGCAGATGCCCGCAATGGCCTACAATATGGCCCAGCAAACCCCGAACTTGAACGGAGCCACCATCTATTCCGGCGGCACTCCAAGCACTCCCAACACAGGGTCTCACGGAACCGGCGCCCACACCCCTCAACATCACGGAGCTGGCTACAACACCACCCCTGGAGGTTTCCAGATGGGTCGAGCATAAGCCTGGAGAACCTTTGGGTTGATACGATATGATGCATGTACATACGCACGATATTTCTCGTGCTGTTTTCCTTCGATCTTCGGCATTGTCTTCGCGCCTGTTGCTTGCATGTGCTCGGTGCCTGTGCCAGGTTCTGGGGCTGGACGACGGTGTTGGGCAGGAAGGTGCCTGGCGTTTGATTTGGCTGGTATTTTGAATGGTATTTGACTCCATTTCCGAGGCGTTGACAGGCTCTATCATGGCCTCGTGCCTTTTGTTATTGTCATCTAGGTCGCGTTCTCTTTGCTTTCTGGGGGTAGATCGGACCTGTGTCTTGTGTATAGGAAATCTGATTCTCTTGGCTACATTTAACTTAGCCTGGATAGTAAAGAAGTCCTCAAAGATATTTTAAGAAGCATTGCTAAAGACACTGTAACTATATATTGCCTATTGCCTTGGCGTCATTTAACGGCGTTCGCTGTTTCCAGAGAGCATCCGTCTCGGCGCAAACCCGCCAGCAGCAGTTTGCCATTTGAGACCACGTCCCTGCAGAGTGAGGACATACCGTTGAATATTATATTCCCCGCCCAATAACAAACAACATGAGTAATAGCATACGGAGCTGCACGCACGCATCCCATTGCTACTTTACTGGAGCCATAACGCTAAGCTTGATCCGGGCAATGGATGCGGCCGTTGGATATCGAAGCCTAACGCATTAACTATCACAATAAAGCTTTACCCAACACTCTGTTAAAGCACATGTAGTCTTTTGAGTAAACTTGCGGCATTGATCGACCCAGCGCTGTATGTCCCGACCCCATTCAACTCAGTTTCCCGTGCAGACGCCCTTCAAGTCGATCCTGGTGCCTTTGATCATGAGTTGCGCAACGAGGAAGGCGTCTTGGACGGCAAAGATGAGGATTCGAGATTTATCAAGTACTTTATTCAAATTCAAAACGTTCTTTATAAGTTACTTCAAATCCTCCAAAATGAACGTAGACTTGGTATATTAAAGCCAAGGTGCGAGTACCGTGTTGTTAATCCAACAGCATTACTAGAGTCATAGGCCATAAATCCTTTCACGCCCCCACCTTCATATAGTCTATATGATTAAACTCACATTTTCAAAAATAACTACAAACCGACGCACTCGAAACGGGCAAAGAGGAGGTGAAAAAAAGATGCCAATGTAAGGCGAAAACAACGCATGCCACGGTACACTCACTTCGAGGCCTTCGTGTAGACTGTCCAATACTTTATCAGTGGCGCTGTATACAAATTTATGACCCTTGTTGTATATGACATGAGATGGGTACTGTAGTCAATTGGTTCTAACTTTATTATATGCTTGCAAAAGGCACTAAAGCTTGACACCTGCCTTTCTCCGTGCCTCCTTTTCTTGGTCACGGATCAATCGGCGAAGAATCTTACCACTAGGGCTCTTGGGAATAGTATCCACGAATCTGATGCCTCCCTTCAACCACTTGTGACGGGCCTTGTGGTCTTCGACATGCTTGATAAGCTTTTGGGAGACGGATTCGTCGGAGCCTGCTGAAGGTGCCTTGACAACAACGGCTTTGGGAACCTCTCCTGCACGGTCGTCCGGGATGGCGACAACAGCGCAGTCAGAAACATCGGGGTGGGCGAGCAGGTGGGCTTCGAGTTCGGCTGGGGCGACTTGGAGACCCTAAAGACGTCGTTTATTAGCTTGGCTCCAAAGGGATTACCTCAAACTGTAAGGTGTATCACGAACCTTGACCTTGATCAATTCCTTAATCCGATCGACGATGAATACGTGCTCTGTGCCCTTGGGGCCGAGGCGTATTACGGCCTCGTCTCCGGTGCGCATCCAGCCATCCTCGAATGTTTCTTTGGTGGCCTTGTCATTGTTCAAATAGCCCAGGACAACACTTGGACTTCTGACAACGAGCTCGCCTGGTGTGTTGTACTCTGTGATTTCTTTGCCTTCTGGTGTAATAATTCGTGCCTCGAATCCTGGAACTAGGGTGCCAGAAGAGCCGAGGAAGATATCGTCAGGATGAGTTGAGCTGACGACCGTGCATGTCTCCGTCAAGCCTGTACAATAGCAAGTCAATTGGCTGTGTCATTTCATGCATCGGCTTTTGCTTACCATAACCTTGCCGAATAAGAACATTCGGCCATACCTTGAGGAAATCCGCTGCAGTCTCCGGTCCCAATGGTGCGGCACCAGTGAAAAGAGTCTCCACGGAGCTCAGATCGTACTTGGAGCATTCCTCCTTGACACCCAGCATGTGGATAATAATTGGGGGGACCTAGGTTGCGGTCAGAGAATGATACCTAAGTCTGCTCTCGGGAGAGGAAACCCTACCAAGAAGAGCGAAGAGATTTTGAAATGCGCAATAGAGGACAGGTATGACTTCAGTTCAAACTTGGGAAGGACAATTGTCTGATCTCCTCGGTATGCGCCAGAATGGCAAATTACCACAAGAGCGTAGATGTGGCTCTGGGGAAGAAGACCAAGGGACACCGCAGTGTATACGCCTCCCGGTGGCGCTTTCTTATCCCGGTAGGTCTTCTCAAACGCAGTTATCTGCAAGACATTGGCGATCACATTGCGGTGCGAGATCATCACTCCTTTCTGCAAGGTAGCCGTCAGTCAGCGATGTCCGAATAGAATTGGTGCACATTTCTTACCGGCAAGCCAGAAGTTCCACTAGAGTAGCACAAAAATGCCGTTCGTCGAGCACCCTCTCCCGCACTCCATCGCAGCTCCTCAACTGGCGGCAAGGACTTGCCCGCTTCGGCGATTTCTGTAACAGACTTGAACTCTGTCGGAACCTTGGTGGCACCGAAGAGTTGCTTGGGCAAATCAGATAGATAGATCCTGCTCTTTGGAAGACCAGCTTTGGCTGCAGCCTCAAGCGAGATGGACAGGAGAGGAACACAGGTGACTAGGGCTTTCGCCTTGGAATCGAGGAGTTGATGTGTCAACTCGGCAGCAGAATAAGATGCATTGGCAGGAGAGAGGACACCACCTAATCTGTGAACAGCCCAGAATAGGGGTAGGGAGTCGATCTGACCAGAAGAGATGTAAGCTTTCTTTTGTCGTCCAACATGAGATCTGCAGTTTACCTACCGTGTTGAGCGTAAAGACGGCCAACGTCTTATCCCATTCCGACCCTTGATTCGGTGCCCATCCAAGCTCTTTAGAGAGACCACGGGCCAAGTGGTCCACGCGGTCGACGACCTCGCGCGACGAATATGACTTTCCAGTCAGGCCGCATGTGAATGGGTCCCGAGAGCTGTCGTGTGCCACTCGTCCATACTTCTCGTTAAGAACGAAATCGCAGATTGGAATGCTGTCGGGGACCGACCCTAGCTCACCGGCCTCTTTCGAGGGCAAAAAGACCATTGTTGATGGTCTCGGAGTTGCAGCGACACTGACTCAAGGAGGTGATTTCAAAGTCGGAATATCTGACAGGGAAGTGATGTGAACTGAGAATAACTATGGTGAGTAAGGTTTGAGATAGCACGAGGAGAGAGAACTAACTTATTAATTCGAAGAATGGGAGAGTTTGTCTTCACAAAACCGGCCGACGGAACAATTTATGGGGAAGCGTGGAGGAGCCGTGCGGGGAACTCGGCAAGCTCAGCGAGGCTCGCGCGCCCACTTTCCCATTTGCTGTGATATACCGCTGGCATACCGCTGTTGGATAGTTTGAGCCGAATTTAGGTCGCCGGTGACCTAATCTGTGGAGAATTGGCCAATTCGGTGGATATTTGCGACTATTCCGAGCTCGTTGAAACTGCCAAGACCAGATATGCCTCGGCATTTCGGCGGCATCAACATATCCGAACGAATTGCGATTGTGTAGTTCTCGTCCCGAACGGACCGAATTGACTTTATTCCTTGTGTCTTTGCTTTTTATAGAGATTATCTGATCTATGCTAACGTTATAGTTTATATCCTAGTCTTCTATTGTAGCTGCTATGCAAGTAACCGTGATTTTCATGCATGTAACACAAGAGGTAACGCAGTATTTCCTTGCATCCTTAAAGCCGAGAACTAATGCACAGTAAGTAATGCTGAATCCCTACACTATTGATTTCTACGAATAAGAATGTACGCCATATCCCACCATTGTTAATGATGCAAGACTGCTCAGAATTAAGGTGGTCTTGGCATGCAGATCATCGCCCTTTGCCGTAACGGGGGCTTTTACCGAAGTATCCCCGGCTGCATCTCTTTCCGCTAATGCATTTCTATCTGCAACCATATTCTCAAGGAACAAACAGTCTAGTTCTTGGTTCCTTAGGTCGATATGATGTAACGATTACAGTCTACGTACAGTACTGGTCTCATCCAATATCCAAGACCTGATATTCGCCTACATGTGCAGCTTACTACGTGCCATTACGTCGGTAACGCTTTTCAATGCTATAAATTTCCGTACACTAGCAAAGCTCGGTGTACCTCACCCCTGGAGTATACCAGCTGACGGGGTCCTGACGAGGGATTAATCAGCGGAGGGAAGGAGTACGGATAATCCCGTGATGAATCCGAGGGTTCTTCCCGTCGAATTGTATTCCTAACTTTTTCACTTCTTCCTGCATCACGGAGAGCATCTCCATCAATAATATTGCTGCCTTTCATATATTTCCATCCTCGTAAACCAGGGATTCCTTTCTCTGGAAGTCGTTGCGCCTCGCGGAGTCCGAATCCGGAAATCGGGAGCTGGGAACTCGATCAACGGCTGTCGTTAGTTGGCTGCATCAGGAGATCCACCCTCCGAAGCGCCAAGGCAAAGAACCCTACCCTCATCAGCCGGATATCGTACCCCCAATCAAGTGTTTCCATCAAGATTTTTTGCCCAGGCACGCTGAATAGCCCAATTGGCATATGAGACGTTTTATCAATCATTTCGCAGCAGGTCGTCGATGATGGCTCCTCGCGCTGCTGTCAATCGAACCCACGCGGCTGAAAGACCTGTACGAACAGGGCGCATCACTAGATCAAAGAAAGAAGAGCCAGTAAAAGGTGGGAATGATCCATTTTGTCCCGTGGTTATTTCAGTCATCTTCATTTGAGGAGATATGGCTGACATCGGATAGTTTCAGTTTCGCCTGACAGATTGGAAGCTGTTGTCAACGCCCAATTCCTTCAACCGGTTTATGGGACTCCCCCGGCCTGGGCAGAGGTATTGAAACTACTTTTATACGATTGAACTGGCATTCTTACACTATTCCAGGGTCGTCAGCAACTCTGCGATGCAATTCCTTGGTTTCGCTGCACCCAAGGCGCCATGTACCACAGCGAAGGCTTCTGCTATGGGTTTCTCATTGATGCCGACTGTGGATCTCGCACCTATATCGATGACGAGGTCATCATCACGAGAATGTAAGATCAGTGCTGCGTGCTCGTTTCTTACAAAACCTAACAGTTAATTGTATCAGCGGTGGATGCTGCACCAAGGACTCGGAGGGAAATCTGACCCTCGAAAAAAACCAAGACCCGGAGAATGCTATTGTGCAAAGTATCATCGGTAGCATGGATTCAAAGCTTGCTGTTGGCCTTGTCATCGGTAAGTTACCAAATGTTGCTTTGCACTTACTGTTGTTGATCAGCATCATAGGCAGCAAAAACAAGATTCTTAACCGAGAACTTCCCCATCGGTATAATATCATGGACTGGTTCCGCGTTACCAATGTCTGGTTTGAGAAGATTGGTCAGAAACACGGGGTCAAGGTCCGGTTTGAAAAGCTGAGCCTCTGTGAGAAGAGCTGGTGGGCACTAAAAGACTCCCTTGCTCCGGCGCCTCTTGAGGAACGAGACTTCGAGACAAAACCGGCATCCCTTGCGTGCCAGAACTGCTCCAAGGAAAGCCTTTTACTGTATAACGAAGGATGGATGTGTCTGAACCCTGGATGTGACGACTTCTGGAAGATTGATGGCGCTCCTCCTCCCGGTGAGCTCACCTTCAACCCTGATTTCTTGTTCTTTCGCCATCGGCCAGACCCCGCAGTGCAGCCTCACTACAGTCTTGTACCGGACCTTCTATCAACGCTAGATGAGAATGCCCCAGATGTCAGCACATCTCGCATTGCATGGAAGGGAATTGTGTGCCCTGAATGTTTCAAATGCATCCGTCGAACTTTCTGGCAAGGCTGGAAGTGTGATGATGACTCTACCAATGCTGAGGAATGTAGCAAGAGATGTCCATTCCAAAAGTTCATGAACATGAACCCGGTGTCGCTTCGTGTTGTCCTCGATCACTTTGAGCTGGCTCCAATCAAGCGAGCGATTCTTTTCGACAAAAAATTCAACCTCCCGGCTATTGATGACGATTCCATGTTTCCGTATCGGAAACTGACTTACAAAATTGACGGCGTCGGCTCTATCACCCACTACGTGTCTAACAGAGCGATCAACGGCCGCAAGAATGGGCCCGATGATCTTTTCGTGAATCTTCAACGTGGCGATCTCGGTTTGAAGCGATTCCGCCTCCAGTCAAGTCTAGGTAAGGCGGCCAAACATACAAAACTATCGCATTGTTTGCTTACCATGATACAGTTGCTGGCACCCTGACTTCTCACTTTGCTGTTAACTATGTAAGCTGGTATTTTCCGAGCCAGAAATATTCGTTTCAATTAGATCAGATCTAATGATGACAGGGAATGCCCTACAAATACGTTGTGTCTGTTGATTCCAAGGGCTTTGATGAAGCACCTGAGGACTTGCTCCGAGCTCTAGGTCGCTTGTCCTGGGCGACAGAGAACGCTGTAGTTTCTGTTGGGGATAAGTACCTACCTCCAAATGAGCTATTGACGCTTGGTTATTTCGAAGATATGAAGATAGGGGTAAGTCACAACACATGGAGTTGGTATTAGGTCCACTAATCGCTTTTTCAAGTTTCACGACGACGGTGAATCTTCATTGGGCCCAAGCATTGCCACTTTATCTCTCGGGGCGAAGGCAACTATGCTCATCCGCATGAAGTACAAATACTTCAATGGCTCTACTCGAAAGGCCGATACCAAATCGATTGGAACCCTTCTGCAAGATGATCCTGTCCTGAAAGATTGCATGTTTGAAGATGAGCGCAAGACCCTCAAAAAGGAACTCCATGATGGGGATATCTCACAGCATGAGTATGATGCCTCTCGTCGCGCTCTCTCAAAGGGCCGCAAAGGAAAAGAGGCACCAGCCACAATCAAGATGGAGCTTCACCATGGCGATCTGGTAGTCATGCATGGAGAGAAGCTCCAGAAGTACTATGAGGTCTGTGGCTTATTCTATCCCCGATTTCCTTCAACGTTAACATGATCTTTCCAGCACGCTGTGGCACCTGAGAACAAGCTGCGGTTTGCTTTGACTGCGAGATATGTCAAGCCCGAACATGTCGATGCCCGAGAATACAAGAAGGGCGAGTTTTATTTGACCCCTGAGCAGATTTACGATGGAAAGTGATGCCATATTTATGACTACCCTACTTTGGGTCAAATTTCCAGTGACGCCTCTGCTTTTTCTATGTAGTTTGCTGACGCGCTGCGCCTTATAACTAGATTATTTGCTAGAACCGATCTCTGGGCCATTCGTCGGCGATCTGCCGCTTTTTCATTTTTTTTATCTGAATATCCAGGATTGTGCTTTTTTGCTATATACCCTATTGCTGTATTAGTTTTGTTATGCTGGTCACTATTAGGTGCTTTGTGGCTTTTGCAGGTCGAGGCTTTTTATGATATGGCCCCGCTGGATGTTCCATATACCCTATTGCTCTAAATCTCATTTATACTGGTCAAGTCCATTATCCGCATTCCGGAATACTGTCGAGCAATGATGAGGAGGCTCTTGAATTCTATCAGTTCATTGAAATTACAAGACTATCCTTTGCAAACAATGTTGAGCTTGCTATCAAGAGGACAACTTGATGATGCGAGACTGATCAAAATGCATATTCGGGAGCCCACGTAGTTTAGAACTATTGGGCTACGAATTATACCTTAGCCATCGGCTTGAATGTTATACAAAGAAGAGCCACCTTCTCTTGCTGTAAGGTCTTGGGAACGCCCTAGGGCTTAGTGTCGCCTAATTTGCTGAAAGTACTCGAGGAAGTCGAGTTTGCCAGGACACGTGGAGTCGGAAAATTAAACAATAATGCCTTTGCAGTCTCGAATTCAAAGAGTTATATTTGGCCTATAATACACAATGTGCACCCTGTAAAGTTTAGTGGGGCGCGGCTCAGCCTCCCTTTCAGCCTTGCGACTTCGTAGCAGGGTTCTTCCACAGTCTATGTCCAGGATATGTGTAACTAAGTACCCAAGAAAGACATCTGGATGCGCTCTCGAAAAGGTTTTTATGGTATCAAAAATATCTAACATCTCCAAAGTCGGGCGATGTAGTAACCTGGACCCCTATTTCCCTCCGGGGAATAAATACCAATCAATAATAATAGTGACCGTAGTAACGGCAGTAACGGCACAGCTAGACAGATTTACAATGACATATGTATATATGGACGTTAATAGTTAAATCTTGGAGCTTCAGACACGTCAAAAGTCGCATATTGTCAGCGTCGTTCAAGGAGGTAGTGGTACATCCCGTTGGCGGTGGGGAACAACTGGCACGCAAGTCCCTGGTACCTCGACTAGCGTGGGCATAGCTGAGCCCCCAACTCAACATCACCTCCACCACCCACCCTCCACACTCGTGCTGGACTTGGCTTCTTATACTCCAGACTACGCTTCACGGTTTACTACCGTGTGGGGATGCCTAGAGCCAGCTCCCCGGCTTGTCACCTGCCCGCGTGGTCCCCCTCATTCGAATCAGTTACCCTCCCAGTCGCTCGTTTCTCCAGTTGCTCGCCCTAAGGTCGCCTGAGCCACACGAATCCCGCAATAGAGCCCCTCGCGCAACTGTGGGCGTGTCAAATTCAGTCTAGTCAACATCGGGTCGGTCTCTCGCCCCTCCGAAGCCATGGCACAATATCCGAATGGACAGCAGGCATACTATGGCCAATCCGCGAATGCCCAGGTGCCCGCCCAACCGGTAGCAAGCCGCTACGAGAGCTACTCGTCTCAGCAAAACCCCGCGCCGAATCAACATTTGCCTCGAAGGATGCCAAGTTACAATGCCGGGGATGATTCGGGGTTCTTCAACTCGGCCCAAGCCCAGAATGCACGAGTGGCCGAAGGAAACGCACAGTATTCGGCACAAAGCGGCTACAACGCCCCGCAGGGTGTCTTTGACGACGACAGGGACTCCAGATATTCGCGCACTTCATCAGATGCCATGTCGCGCATGTCTCCCAGTCGCGCGTCTTCGCAAACCTCCACCATGTCTTACCAATACCAGTACTCCGGAACGTCAACGAACCAGCCAGCTTATAACCCCCAGCAATACGGCCTCCCACACGCACAATCCCAACCAGTCCTCGCTTACAACCCCCTGAGCTACAACGGCTCAAACAATGTCTCCTATGCGACTCCGGCTTCAGGTCATCAACCGTATAACCCTGCGGCATATCAGTCTGCCAACCTCTCAGGCCTGAGCTCTCCGGTTCTACCAAGAAGGCAGAGCATAGCTTCACATTACGGACAGACACCACCGACCCCACAATCCTACGGCTTTCCCTCGCAACAACCACCGCTGCCACCGCCAAGGGGGCCTGATCACCCGTATGGAGGACGTCCGTCTCCATATCAAGCCATGTCACCTATCCCTTCGCCTTCGTATGTGCCATCGAACTCGCCAGGCACAATGACTATGCCCCCACCATTATCGCGACCTTACTATGGCACACAAGGATCCGCGTATGATTCACAATCTCCCCAATATAACCCATCGAATACCGGCGCCTCTTTCGATGATCTGCCTCCGGAGCCACCGGTTCATCAGAGCCAAGGAAATGGTCTGTACGGTAAACGGCCGAGTGTGTCTCATGCTGGGGCAGGGCGGGCCCTGCCAGACCCTCCGATGCAGCCAGATTTGCCTCAAATACCACCGAGACGAACCGACACCTTGACTCGACACCCTCAATCACGACCTCTCCCTGGGCCGCCAGTTGACGCAGAAACTGAAACAGATGACAACCGCTTACCTTCAGATCCACCTGTGGCATATGAAGATTTGATGAAAGAGGTTGAAGCGGCAGTGGACCCCCAGAATTTTGCCCGGCGTCACAGTTCACGAGCATCCCACCAAAGCGCCGGTTCGCGCCTTCGCTTGTCGCCCGATGAGCAACATACGCACACCAATGGAAACATGGACACAGGCACAGGGAACTATGTCAATTACGACGCCTACAGTGACGAAAGTGATGCTGAGGCTGCAGCTGGACTAGCTATGATGCAAATGGCAGACGAAGAAGATAGGGCACGTGAGGAGCGTGGCCGTGAGCGTCTAGAAGAGCGGATGCGACGCGAGACTAATGCCTCAGTTCTCAGCTCTCGTGGCTCCAACATTTCTCCGAGAGGCCCTTCACCACATTCCGATCCCAACCAAGACCAGGAATTCAGCGGTCATGACCTTGCATTGTATGAGGGAGGTTATTCTGGGAACTTGCACTACGGCGAAGAGCCTGCTTACACTGCTGAGGAGTACTCGGATCCCGCCGATAGATTCACAGGCACATCTGGTTCATTCAGAAGCTCCAATGTGTCCCCTGATGAGCGTGGGGAATATTATGATGAATACGAACATCCCCCTATCGCATATGAGTATGCCAACCGCCTCCATCATCTGCCTCCCAACCCCGACGCCAGGGTGGATGCGGGTGGTACGGGTGGACTATCGGCACCCGACGCCTATGGTCGTCGGATGAGTTTTGACTATGGCGATGAGGGAGAATCACCATATGACCAGTCTCAATCTGCATATCAATCCGATGATGAAAGTCCCCACCGAGCCGCCCATGAAGATCTCTTTTTCCACCCTGGAATGCGTCCACTTCCACCTGCGCCTGTTGAACCGGCTGGCAATGTTGATCTCGTCTCACATCTGATGCCTGCCGGTACTTACAATCACCATGAACAAGAAGAATTGAATAGCTATGCCCAGTATAACAACGACGCTTCCTTGCCAGCTTCTGCAGACTCATATGACGATGCTCTGCTCAGCCCATCCCAAGTCCCGCGGTCGTCATCTTTGTCGACTCCTATTGGACCTCGTTCCGATCCGCCCATCAGGTCGAAAACCGATGCGGATCGGGTTAGGTACAGGCAGCAGCAGCACGAGCTCATGTTGCAACTCCGACAGAAGGAACTCCCTCATATAGATCCGGCTGAAGCGGCGGCTGCCGCCGTCACATTGGATTTGCCAAGCATCCCGGCTGGTCGCCGCAAGAGATTCCACCCTGCCAAGCTGTCCTCGGAGCAATTCAAGAAGTGTAGCGAGCCTTGGGCTTTGAGCTCCATTCTGTCCTGGATTCGCGACCTGAGCGAGGATGAAACTGATCTCAAGGAGCAAGCAATTGCCGACGCTATTGTGGCATTGTTCACTCACAAGGTGCCCACAATGAACATCGCTGATGCCGAAACATTAGCTGCTCGTGTTGTCAGCGGTATGCTCGAAGGAGGCGCGCTGGTCAAGGAAGAGGAATGGGTCAAGTTCGGCTCTGGTGGCCTTTCGGGTGTCCTGTTCCAAATCACTGGTACCGGATGTTACTCTGCCAAGCTTCATTTGCAGGAGATGCACATCGAGGATACCGATAGCTTTGGTCGATGCTACTCGCATCATTGTATGCGAACGCTGAAGAAGGTCAACCTCAAAGCGCAGATGATGGCACCTCAAAAGAAGGCCGAGGACTGGGTGACCTTCTACAAGGTACCTAAAGAGGTATGGGAGTCTCATCCCAGGAAAGAGGTTGATCGGCAGAACAACTTGCACGAGATTGTCACCACAGAAGACTCCTACATTGGGCAACTGGATGTCCTGCGAGAACTCTATCGTGACCAATTGGCTGGCATGAACCCATCAATCATCCCGACGAAACGACTTCCCAAGTTCCTGTTGGATGTCTTTGGCAAGGTTGATGCAGTGAAAAAGGTCAACGAGGACTTCCTACTGGCACAGCTCAAGTACCGTCAAAAGGAGCAGGGTCCCTTCATTACTGGGTTCAGTGACATTTTCAGAGAGTGGATTCGCAAGGCGAAGACCGTTTACATTGACTATGCCGCGACCTTCCCCACTGCTAATTACCTTGTGCGTAAAGAGGCCGAACGCAACCCGCACTTCAAACAGTTCTTGAACCAGGTGCGAGAACACAAACTATCGAACCGACTCAGTTGGGACACCTTCCTTAAGGCTCCAATCACCCGAATTCAACGTTATACGCTTCTTTTGGCCACTGTCCACAAGAACATGGTGAAGGATTCCGAAGAAAAGACCAATGTCGCCCAAGCCATCGAAGAGATTAAGATTGTTGCTTTGGAGTGTGATAACAAAGTGGGAGAGATGAACAAGAAGGCCAACTTGATGGAACTAGCAGCCAAACTACAATTGCGGCCTGACATGAAGAAGGAAGTCGAGCTCAATCTTGAACACCTAGGCCGACAGATCATCCATCGGGGCGATCTTCAACGTCCCGGAACCCGCACAAGGTTCCTTGTGGAGACACATGCCATTCTATTCGACCATTACCTTGTTTTGGCTAAGACATTCACAATGCGAGACCGAGCAGTCAAGTACGAGCGATACGACGTATCAAAACTGCCTATTCCAATGGATCTTTTGGGTCTCGAAAGCACCAACGACGACCCAGTTGTCAAATCTTCCGTTCGTGGTGTTTCAACTGTCACGCCCTCTCAAAGCGTTGTCAGCCCCCTAACACATACTGGACCTGCATCTGCAGGAAACACAGTCGTCGACAACTCAAGGGATGACAAGATCCTCTACCCCTTCAAGATCAAGCACCTCGGCAAAGAAGGAACCTATACACTCTATGCCTACTCCGCCCAGAACCGCATGGAATGGTGCCAGAAGATCATCGAGGCTAAGACAAAACATGCGGCAGCTCTATTTTCACAAAATGCAGAGCCATTCAGACTTCGTGTACTTGCAGATACTGCATTCGCATATTCAGACCAGTCACCGGGCTCTAAAAGCGTCACTATCACCGGCACGCCGTTGCATCGTGCGATCAAGGAAGTCGAGAAGCAATACGAAGGTTCTGGACCCAGGCCAACCCCCGTATGCAGGACTTCCGTCACCTGTGCAACAGTATTCCAACAGCCTCCCGGTCGAATCATGTGTGCAATTGGTACGGAATACGGTGTCTATATGTCTGAGCTGAACAACCCCCGCGGGTGGTACAGAGCTATCCCCATCATGCGGGTCACGCAAGTTGCCGTCTTCGAGGAGTTCAATCTTCTACTGCTCATTGCGGATCGTTCTTTGATTGCCTATCATCTTGACGTGGTTTGCCCTGCCAGTGGGTCTACCTCGCAGTCGTCTCAGGATTCCGCTCGACGAGCCCCGCAGAAACTGTCTGGAAACCGTGAAGTCGGCTTCTTTGCAGCTGGTCGTCTGAAGGATCGGTACTTGGTGCTATACAAGAAGCGAGATGGACTGTCGTCCACATTCAAGGTATGCATCGTTGAAGACCTGTATTAATGAATTCAGAACTGACACTCTTTCTCAAGGTCCTCGAACCCGTCCTGCAGAAATCAGCAACAAACAAAAGCCGCCTTTTCACATCACGTCGCTCACAAACGGAATTTTTCCGTGAGTACGACGAGTTCTACATCCCCGCCGAGACCTACAGAATCAACATGTTTCACTCCTCGCTGGCCATCTCCACCCAGAAGGGCATCGAGGTCCTCACCCTCGACAAGAAACATTCATGGTCTGTACCAGACTTCCGCACCAATGAAGTTTCAGATGCACAGGACACCCTCCACAGTATTGCCAATCGCATCAGAGACCTCAAGCCACTCGGCATGTTCCGCCTCAGCGACAGCGAGTTCCTGGTTGCTTACCAAGAGTGCGCCGTATATGTCAACAAACACGGCGACGTCTCTCGCAGCGTGGTCATGGAGTTCGTCGGCTGCGCACACACTGCCTGTCTCTATGGACGTTTCTTGATTCTCTTCAATGATGACTTCGTTGAAGTCCGCAACGCGATGAATGGTCGCTTGCGCCAGGTCATCCCCGGTCACAACGTTGTCTGCCTTGATGATGGTAGCAAAATGCCCGGCTCGCTTGACGGAAATGCGCAGGCAAGCAGTGGTGGCTCTATGAGAATGGGTAGCGGTTTCTCGGGTGCTACTAATGGTGTCTCCTCAGGCTCTGTCGGTAACACGGTGAAGATCTGCATGCAGCACCCAGAGTACGAGCGGAGCCAGCTTGTCTTGGAGTTGGTTGAGAACGAGGGACAAAAAGACTAAGTCTGAGCCCAGACAGTTGGTTATACTTCCTTTCTTTTGCATACGTTGGTCACTTCATGGCCACTTTTGATCTTGATATTTACCTCGATTTTTTTAATCTTCTTGGGTTGCATCTGTATCTTGCCCCCTGTTACTTTTCTCACCACCGAGCGAGCTAGTTGGCTCCCTCGCCTTTCTATTTCTGGGCCTTTATGTTCTCAATGGTGGGTTCCCCATGCACGAGCCTCACTTCTCACACTCCCCTGCTTGTTTTATACCCTTTTTTCCCTCTTTTGCTCTTCATCATCACCTCATACCCTTCTGTTTCTACATTTTGAAGCTCGGTGATGACCGATTGCATCCATTCCCCCGAGCCTTGCTCCTAGTTGGACATGCTCATTTTTTGATGATAATGTACATAGAGCACGTCGTTGCATCTCATGATTTGACGATTCGCTGAATTCAAGTACTTCTCATGTCACAGTTGTCTTTGATCTTTACGAATCTTCTAGTCTGTTATAGGAAATATGTCTTAATTTCTTTACTGCGTTCCCTAATATCTCTTGATAGTTTATCTAGGAAATTGGGCATGAGAGTTTGCTACATAAAGGGGAATTTTTTCGAATCCACAAGTCCAAAACAGGTTCTTCTTTCTGAGAGAGATAAGATATCTAAAAAGGCTGTGGGCTCAGCCCATGCAAAACAGTCGCAAAGACACGCATCCAAACCAAGTATTGTATTGTAGTACAGTATTGCATGGAAAAAGCCGATCCAACAGACCAAGGGTTACACAGAAAGAAATGCGGAGATGGAAACCAGCCAAACCATACAGGTCAAAGGGAGACAAGAGACAGTATGTAGGAAGATCACGACTCGAACTCGACGATCTTGCTAATGACCTCGCCATCATGGTCAGTAGGCGAACCATGGCTCTTGGAACTAGCAGCACTGTCGGAGGCCTTGCTGGGCCCAGAGTCTGTGTCTTGCTTCCCGTCCAGAAGGGATGTACTCTCATCCTTACCGCGGACGCTAAGAACCTCAGCTCCTTCAAGGAGATCACGGTCAGCATCGCGGACGACGCTGCGGCGTTCAGTGTCTGCGCCATATGCGCCCGCGCCCCAGCTGGAGATTCCGCCAGCCATGACAGCGGCGCTATTCTCACGGCGTGGGTAGTCCTCATCATCCTCTTCATCGTCTTCTTCCTCGCGGCCGAGGGCGTTCCGCTCCAGTTCGCGCTGGGCGTCGTCCATTCTCTTTTTGACTTCGGCTGCCATGCGGATTCCGTCTGTGACGATGTTGTCCAGTACGCCACGGAGGCCTTTGCCTGGAGGCACGATGCCACCTGAGGCGCCAGCCACTGGGGCCGCCGAGGAGCCGGCGAGTCCGGAGGAACGGATGCTGCCGAGGTTGGAGAAGGTAGTGAGGTTGGAGGAGAGCGAGGAAGAGGCGGCAAGAGCGGCTGGGTGGGGATGGTCAGAGAGGTGGAAGGATTGAGGGAAGTAGGATTCGAAGAATTTCTCTAGGAGCTCGTCGGCGAGGACGACCATTCGGAAAGTGGGGAGTGTGATGTGCAGAGGATTGTTGGGGTCGAGAGCTGGGTTGGCAGACTCGGATGCTGAGCGGTTATGGTCGTGACTGTTTGACTCGGCGGTGCTGGACTGTGCTGATTGGAGTGTTGCGTCTGGTGCTGGAGACTTGTTGGACTTGGAGTCTCCATCATCAATATCAATGAGATCCTCTCCTTCGTCATCGTCATCGTCGCCGATAGCGAATGAGTCTAGCTTCTCCGTTGCTTCTTCTGTGGCATCTTGTTGGGCACCCTTTTGGTTCTCAGGGTGGCTGGGATCGGCATATTCGAAGCAGCGACGGATGAATGCACTGACACTACCAAGGAACTTCTCGTCGGTAGTGAGCGAATTCTCGGCAAGTTCGCGATCTCTGGGCGTATTCAGGTCCTCCACAGATTGAGTTGCAGTAATAGTGCCCTCAAATCCTCGTCGAGAAAGGAACAAAAGCGCCTCGGATATTTTGAGTATCCCTTCACGATCGACTTGGCCATTGCCATCGTCATCGTATAAGTCGAAGAAGTAGTTGATGTTGTTCATAATGTCAGGTGATCCCTTGAGACGCGCTAGACCATTCACGACATTCTGGAGGTTCAACCCTTCTTCAGGATCAGTGGCCCACTTGCGATAGAGTCGTTGCATGAACTCATGGTCAGCTGGCTGTTGGCGGTTCGCCCACAGTGCTGACTTTCCTGACGAAGATGCATTCCTCGATGGCCCAGGGGAATCAGCCACCGCCCACTTAGAGGTAGCAGCCAAAAACTCCCGGAAAGCATCATAGTCCATATGTGTAGGGCTGGGTCCAAGGCCTACACGGCCGATTTGTGTATCCGTAGGAGGGGCGAGCATGGAGAGGCGTTCGGATTTCTTCCTCTCTTGCCGCCTGCGTTCCTCCTCAATAACTCTCTGGTGTTGTTCCCATTGATACAGAGTTTCGTAGAAGCGGTCGTAGATTGTGCCGAGGTCATCTATGCTCAGGCGCTTGCTCTCTGGACCAAGATTGCGGATAGAAGTCCGCTTGGCAAAGGTCTCGATGTTCTCCAACACAGCACCCTTATGCTTTTCACGCGTTTCAGTGATGGTACTGTGAGTGATGCCTGAGAATTCCTTGAAAGCAACCACCATCAATTCCTGAAATCGGGTAATGGCCCGGAGCTTGGGGTTCTCTGATCTCGGGTGGGCAGACTCATCCAAACGTGAGAAGTATGATTTCAAGACAGAAATGAAAGAACCATCATCCTGAGTCTCCAAAAGCTCTTCGCCGTTGACCCGAAGAATGGCAAGACCAACCTGGAAGAGAACTTTCGGTCCTTCCAGGAAGAAAACATCCAAGACGCGGAAAGCAAAGACAAGAGGCATAGAATTGATATAGAGAGAAAGGAACCAGGGCAATGAGACCACAGAGAGTTGGACGTCAGACTTGGTCAGGTGCTCCCAGAGAACCGGCATTGTTTTCTCAACCAATGACTCGAACACCTTTTGATCCAGCAGTGTGCCGTACATGGTTGTTGAGTAATAACCGGGGAGGAGACGATCACATAAGACAGAGAGAAGGAAGAATGCCTGAGCCTCTGACATATAGCTGTTCAAGTTAGCGCTCACTCTCGGACTTGAGGATCCGAACGTACATTAACAGTGCAGCAACCACAATATTCATGGCCTGACAATACCCAATTTCTGCATTGGTCCAACTGTACGCAGTGAGAACTCGTCGTAAGCGGCCAATACCCTCTTCACTCTGGAAGCCAGGATATTCTGGCAGACTGCGGTTCAGGTCTTTCTCGATTTCGTCGATAGCAAGGGAGTCTTGCCCCTCAAACTTGGCCAATGTCTCCTGATATAATTTGGGAGACCGCAGACGAAGGAAGAGAGAGCCAGATGTAAGCTCCCAGATTTCACCGCGCAAGCGATTCGGTAAACCGACTCTAATGAGCTTGTGGAAGGTTGGTTGGCGAACCAGCGTAGCATTGCGGCCATTTTCTATAGATAATTAGTGACAGGTCCGTACACCAAGCCAAAAAGATAGATGTCCTTACCTCTGAAATATTCGCCCCAAAGTCTCATCTTGCTGCGATCACGTAACTTACGTGCATCGCCAGGATAGCGGAAAATCAAGCCCAGTCCCGCATCTGGGGGTTGACGGGCGTCGGCGTCAGCACCATCCTGGCCCTTTCCCTTTGCACCTGACAGCAAGTATTCCGAGTAGCAATCGTTGACGACAGTCCGAAGGCTTTCAACCTCTTTCATTCCTTCCCGCAGACCTTTCTTCAATGTGTCACAGAATCGTTCGCAAGCCTGTCTGCTACCGACAAGCTGCAAGATGAGTCGCTGAGGCGCGAAGTTGGTTTCTTGCTGCTTGTTGAGCAGACCATTCCAGGTTGTGAGCGCCAGGGAGAAGACATGGCTGGCGCTATGGAGACGCTCGACTCGTCGGATACACGATAGAGGAAGGATGAAACCATTGCCCGACGGACCAGTTCCATGAGTCTGGCCGGTCCACGTGGTTGAAGCACTTGTCGTAGCAGAGGAAACAAAGCTTGTCGGCTGGGTGGAAAAGCAGATAAACCGCTCACTCAGATGAAGGCGCCCGTTGTATCTATTTCCGGCCCGGTCAGCCTTGCGTGACCCATCGCCTTGGTTCGCCGATGAGTTCGGAAGCGGCAGAACGAGATCAGCAGTAATCTCTTGCAGTGGGTTCTGGGAATCAGGGAGGCGGAATTGTTGGCGGAACAGCGAGGCCTTCGAGGGATTATGGTCGGCCGTGGATAGGACGGGAATGTTGAAGTTGGCGGGATCAATCAGGCTCTGCGCCTTCTGAACGAAGGATGTCCACTGTAACATTGTGAAAAATAAAAGAGGGGACTTGGATCAGATTGTGGAGCTGGTATCCGATGATGTTGGGGTCGGAGCTACAGCTAGGCACTGTGAAGTAGATCCGGGCTAGGAATATGAAAGAAAGCCCATGCGTGGTTGTAATTGAAGCTTCAGGAGCATTGTACAAGACAAGTTATCCTTCACCGAGGGCTGAGCCTGCAAAACAAGAGGGCCAGGACGGGTGATGTTGTTGGATCGACAAGAGGGGGAGGCCGTGATGACGACTTCACGTGACCAGCCCTATAAACAGCTTGGCATCTTCAGAATAATGCGTTGATAGTCCCGAGAACTATACAAATTGAAGCTCTGGAGAGTCTGATTGTCTATCAGTAGATCTAAATGCTACAGTGGAGGGCTACTGGTTGCAGAGAGAGTATTTGAACACAAACAGTTGATTGATAAGGTGATACAAGGAAAATGGCTGTACAAGCTTGATATAACAATAGTAAATCAAAACAAAAGGTCATATTGCTGACCGGCACAAGAAATGGAAAAAGCGCCCAGTTATGGGCAGTGATCTCGAAAAGAATAATTCAAACCCGTCCAGACGGGTGTTGGCCCTTGTTCAGGAGAGCAACCCCTAGTCACAGAACACCACTTGAAAAAGTGCGTTTAGTTCTTGTCGAGGGATGCTCGGGTCTCAGATGGTTCCGTGTATTCAGGAAGTATCTCTTCGGAGTGGCGGGATTCGGCCATGAGGCCCTGCTTTTCGCATGCTTCGCCTTGCTCCCAAGCAGCCTTGTGCTCGGGTGATTTGGTACCACGGTACCGTTGCCAGAGGAAGACCACAGCTTGACCGACCAGCATACCGACAGCGCTGGCGGTCAATCCAGCCAGGACGCCGAGGACAGCAGGAACAACGATGAAGTGGACAACGCGCGAGAATGTGCGGGCGAAGGCACCATGGTGAGGACGGCGGTGGTGGTGGTGATCAGGACGAGGCGGGCGGCCAGCATCAGAGCCAAAGCCGTGGCTATGGCCGTGGGGTCCGCCTGGACCAAACTCTTCGGGTTGGAAGTCTTCTTTGCCGAAAGGTGGCGGAGGGAAGGGCATACCGTCAAGGCCTTCTTCGTGGTGGCCGTGGGGACCATGGGGGTCCGGGTGTCCCATCATCTTGGGCTTGTGCTTGCCGTGGCAGCCTTTGCGACCAGCCTTGGCCATGCCCATAACACGGGTTTTGGCACCATCCAACAATCGACGAATGCGGGTAATCAGAAGATCTTGCAGGCACTTGGCTTTGCCATGGCACTCCTTCCAGGAGATGCGGTCGGAGGCGGGTGTAGTCTTCTCGATCTCCGTCTTGGCGATGAATAGCTCGCCGTTGGGGTCTTGGAGAACGGTGATCGCCACAGTATCGACTGGAACGGGGTGGGTCTCCAGGTCGAGAACGGTAAAACGGATATCCAGTAGTTCGTAGCCGGGCTCATCAGATGGAGCGGCCATCGGCATGACCTCCAGAGCATAGCCAACAGGCATGGGCTCGGAGTCTTCGCCCTCATCGCTTTGTTGGATGGCTTGAATGGGGCTGGGAGGAGTAGGAGGGAAGATTTGGCGGCCGTTGGCAAGCAGGCGGTTGTCTTCAACCGAGAAATCCAACATCTATTGAGTTGAGTTAGTTTCCTTGAACGTTGGGATGAATGGATGAGACCATCTGGGCAAACTTACCAGGTGTGATGATTTATCCTCAGTCCAGCTGACAGTGCCTTCCTTGGTTTCACGGAAAGGGCACTCGGTGCAAGGCAAATCAACAACCGCATGATGGACATCCTCCAGGAGCATTGGGTGGACATTCACGAATCCATCCTCGACGGATTCCATCTCGGGGACCACCAGTACAGCGCTGGCGCCTATAGCGGCAGCGCCCAGCAGAACAGAGCGGACAAACATGGTGAAAGCTTCTCAAAATGGATGTCTGAAGCAAGCTGTAAGATGAGGGAGCAAAAAGATGATAGTTATCTTGAGGGGCGAGGAGATAAGTCTAGTCTCCTTTCGGCAAGCAGTGGAGAAGGTGACGCCAGCTTCTGCGTGGCGCGTGTTCCCATTGGGCGGTGAACACACTTGCTGACTGGACACTGGCGCCATCAAATAGAGTCCGCGCAACCCTCGATAAAAATAGTCCCCAGCTTGTATACCCTGGCAAATATATGCATACAGAAACATGATGGTGTGTACCATATCCAGGTACATCGACATCCAGATATACAGGCCGGTCAGAGAACAACAGCGACAGCGTATATCATCCCTGGAGGAGAAAAACTCGAAATCCAAAGTTCTGAGGGTCAGATCAAAACAAAGGTTTGTTATCAGCCCAAGCAGCGCTGTCTCGATGATGAGAGAAAACAACAGGCTTGGTACGATTGGTGGGGGGAGACAACAAATGTTGATGCAGAAGTGCTTTCGAAAAAGCAAGCTTGGGATGCCGGCATCAAATACATGCAAGTCACAGGAGGCAAGTGACAGCGTATATCGTACCCAGGTACACCGACATCCAGGTAAAATGGCATCAAATTGCCAGTCACAGACAACGACAGGGCGTGTATATTGTATGCACCTAGCCAGGGATCAAATGCCAGTCAGACAGCGAGTGGCGGCGTATATCATGCCAGGGAACTGAAACATCAAAGTATTCAGGGGTCGAATATATGCAAGTCACAGACAACAACAACAGTGACGATGTATATCAGTCCCCGAGAGGACCTGGGCAGGGATCAAATCACCGATCACAGACAGCCATGGTGTCACGGCGTATATCATACCCAGGACAAATGCATCGTACCCAGGAACTTCAGGCATCCAGGTACAGCCGCATCAAATATAGGCAAGTCACAGAATCACGACAGTGACAGCGTATATAATACCCAGGAATATGGGACATCCAGGTATAAAGGCATCCAGGTATACGTTCAACAGAACTATATATACCGACGAAAAAAATCAAACAGCACCCCGTAGGGTGAGCGAACAGACACACGAACAAAAAAACGAACAAGACACGGACAGGTACACAGGCATGGACTCAAAACACAAAACACACAAGTCCCCTGACAGGAAACTTGCTTTCGTGTTTTGTGTTTTCGAAGGAGGGGGGGGAAGGCCAAGACTCGAAATGGAGCTTGCTCCCCGACATGCCCTCCCGGCTGACTGAACAGAAGTCCCTGTTGCCCGGTTGCGTCTGAAAGGCCTCGTCGCTGTGAGGAATGCACTGCGTGAACAGATGCATTGGTGTTCGTTGGCGCAGCAGCCCGGAGACGAGGGGTGACAATCTCGCTCCACAGCAGGCGCTTTGCCGATGTTGTTATTGGCGCCGTGACCCGGGGACAAGGGGTGATGATCCTGTCACACGCGGGGACTTTGCCGATGTTGTTGTTGTTGGCTCAGCACCGGGCGAGGGGTGACAATCCCGACCCGGGCATGTTGCCGATGTTGAATATCCGATGACAAGTCGAGGACCGGGAGTTATCGCGTTTGCTCGCTTGCCATCTGCCTGAGAAAAGAATCGGGGACCGGGAGTTATAGCGTTTGCCCGTTCTTTCTTGCACCACACCACCACAAGATTCCACCAGTGCTTACCCGAGTGTACCACGGTCATCCTCGAGCCACCTCGTCACCCAGTAGTCAATCTTTTCCAGCCACGGCCATTCGCGAAAACGACTGTAGCGCAAGTGGTCAAGATGACAGATGTACTGCCTCTCGTAGCCCTTCCACTGGATAGAGTACGCAGTGTACTCAATGGCAACCAGGAGGGCAAGGACGAGAAGCAGACGGCTGGGGCAGTGGCGCCTGATCGACCCAAGGAATACGAGCATTGCTCTGGAAACCAGGGGAACGACAGGGGCCAAGGAGAACACCAGGCCTGGGGCCTTGATACGGGTCTCCTGCCAAACGGCCTGCAAGACAGTGAGGATGAATCTCACGAAGATCGGGAACAAAGGGATCAGCACAGCCATTAGGATGATGACGCTCGCCATCGCATACCCGCTGACCTTAACCATCAGGTAATAGGCCATCAACAGGAATTTGAAGAGCAGAGACATCGATTGCCTGATAACCCCGGGGGAAGTGATCTCGGGCGACTCGACTGCGGCGACGATCGGAACAGAAACGGGTGGGGTCGAAACTGGGTGGTGAAGCCCGGAATCAACCGCCTGTGGACCGTTCACACTTTCCGATCGCAGCTGCTCGACTCGAGTGCGCATCTTGACCATCCGAGGGTTATCATGGACATCCCTCAATCCGGACCCAAAGCGTCCTGGAACCACCGCACTGGTTCTGACACTGGGAATCGGATTGACTGACCGGACCTGAGCCGGACGAACTGACTGAGCCTGAGCCGGACGAATCTTCGAGAAGTCCTTAGCATTTTGCTGGGACAACCCATATCGCGCGGCAACAGGGACTTCCAGAGCGCCAGGGTCACGTACAGAGGGTACAGAGTAAGCCTTATACACCGGGTAGGTGCGCGGGCCGGGACCGTGGTTGATTCGAGGACGCGGGCCGCGAGGCCGCTCACTCTCAGCTTCCTTGGTCTTCGCTTGCTGAGCCAAAACTGACGCAATCGGGGCCTGCTCAACAATGGGAGCTGGCGCCACAATTGGATCAGTTGACGCAGCCATTGTGGAGTCAATCTGAGTCGGAGGTGGTGCAAAAATAGCAGACAAACTCACGACTGGCATCGTCCACGATGGCGTTGTCGGGATTGGGGCACGGATGCGGGGCTTCACTGCCTTCACCCAGCGCTTTCTCGCATTGAGGTAACGAGGGCGACTTATGAGGAGGGTCAGTTTGGTCCGCTTCACGTATAGATTCCCATCCCATGACTTTGCTGAGCGATCGTCGGGTTCCCAAAATCCGTACACTTGACGAGTCCGCTTCCTCTCCGGGGCGCTCAGAGCGCTTGCCGCAGGGTCCAACACTCCATTCCATCCTACATTAGGACTTGGGGGAAGGAGGTCAATTGCAGGAGCATCGGTCATTGTGACATCGATAATGGGAACTTCACTCTGTTGGTGGAATTCTGTGGTGGTGGGTGCTTCGGCTAACGGCGCAGCACCGAAATCAGGAATGATGAAGTTGGTTTGTCGCTGTTCCTCATGTTGGAGGGCTCCAGTGATACCGGCAAGTGTCTCTTCAGAAAGCATCCCCACACCGTAGCCTGAGCCTGGGGCCATGTCAAATGGAGCGTTGATGATCTCCGTGTTGGCGTCATGAGTCGCGGTCTGGAACATGGGCTGAGCCATTTCGCTAGTCATGAAGTTGCTTGACGTTGGCTTGGCATTCTCTGGGGCGTCGGGCATGGGGGACTCCTGTAAAGGCACTCCTAGCTCGTAGTCCTCATTGTATGGGACGTTATGGGCTTCACACCAATCGACTCTCTGAAAGCCTTCCTCTGCTGCAAAGAATTGAAGGTCAAGACTATCAAATTCCGAGTCGCAGAACGGGATTGGAGGTTCAGGTGTCTGTGGCTGAATGTTGGTGGCTAGGGTGTCGGTGACTTCGTTATTCGTGATTGCAGGCTGGACCGCGGATGGGGTGTTGGTGATTGTAAAAGGAGCTGCGGAGAGCGTGTTGCTGAGTTTTCTCTTCGTCACTGTAGGCAGTGTGGCGGGAAAGTTCAGATCTTGAATACTGAACCGGGGCGACACATGAGCACGATCGTGATGTTCAGGGAGATTGTCGGTCGAATCTTGGCATCGTGGGTAGGGGTTGGTCATGGTACGCTCAAACCCGTTTATCTTGTCAGACACGACGGACATCATTTCGTTCAGATGTGAGAGTGCCTCTGCCATACGGCCAAAACACGCGGCTTTGCGGCTTTCGGTTGCCTGCATTGCGCCATGCAAATTGGACCAGTCTTCCTTCTCCAGCTTGACCAGTTTCTTATGCTCTAGGAGATCGGTATTGGCATCTTCCAGGTCTCTCTCCAAGTCCAAGATACGGGACTCCATATCAATCATTTGCTGGTGATAGGACTCGCTCCGCTTCTGAGCAAGAACACTTATTCTGGCGTTCTCAGAATTGACTTCGGCGAGGCGAATCTCCAGCAAGGAGATGTGTTGTTCGCGAGCCTCGGTGGTTGCGGATTGTTGAGCAACGTTGGTGCGGAGGCGCTTGGCGTTGCCGGTGGACTCTTCGATGGACTTCTCTTGGAGGTCAATCATAGACTCGGCTTCATTGAGCTGGGCTTGTTGGGTTGCAATCTGTCGCTGTAGCTGGTAGGAATTAGCTTCTGCATTCTTGATTGCTTCCTGTGCCTGAGACACAGCAGCCTGGGTGAGTGCTTGTTGGAGTGTTACCTGATCGCGGTTTTCAGCCTGGCTAGCCGTGGGGACCAATGGGGTCAGGTTCACCACACTCCCGTGCGGAGGAGTGTGGCTTGGGGCTGAGGGAGACGAGTTGAAGGGGGTAGGGGCGTACAGTGCCGGGTCGATCAGGGCCGGGTCGATGGGGATGCCATCGTCGACAACCTGGCGGCGGGGAACACGCTTGCCCATGATTGCGGGAGGAGAGGGGAGGGGGGGAAGGAAGGGTTGAATGGTACAGGATAGAAGGGTTGAATGGTATGGGATAGAAGGGTTGGATGGTATGATGGTAAGAAGCTTGCGAGAATCCTTTTGTCACACGTGGAAGCAATGCAACGCGCGTGGTGGACAAAAAAGCAAGCTTGGGGGCAAAGGTAAACAAATGGGATGAGGAGAAAAGAAAGGAAGAAGAGAAAGTGGGAAAAGGGCGAAGAAATAGGTAGTCCTCGACCACTTTGGGAAGGAACTCAGGACGTGCTGCCTGGTGACTTGATTGGATGAATGGACAGCCTCCTCAATGTCTTTGTTCGACTACCCTATCTATTGTTTAATAAAACAATACTCATTGATCATTAGCCTGTGGACAAAGGCATGAGTCAACGGCCTTTCAGTCAACCTTTGCACTAGGGCTGGTTCTTTTGTGTCTTGACACTCTTATTTTACGTAGCTTGAATAGACAGCACTCGTTCAAGATGCCAATTAAAATGCCTGCATTCGACTGTTGTTCGGCCGTGTATCCTTGTAAGTCCATATCCTCATTATGTTCTATAAGGGTTTGGTCTAATTAATCACAAATGTCTCTCATCGACCGGGGATGTGCAGCTAAGAATAACGTTCGAATAGACTCGAGTGTGGAGGTCGGGTGGATCTGCGGTACCCGTCTTGGCGTGACAGGCGGCATGCCGAGCCGCATACACTCTCCGATCTTTATCTCCGTCTCTACGTCATGGCCTCTTCCACATTTTCGACATGACATTTTCTCCTGTTCTAAAATATCATGGGGATGGAAATAATTGAGCGGATGACAACCGAGGCTACTTGGCTGATCACCATCGAAATCGCCGTCACGACCACCGCCAGTACCAACGAGACAATCGCTAAGCTGCTACTCCCGTTGTGCTAAGCCTTCCATTGCTAATCAAAACGATGATATTATCAAGATTCCGCATTTACCTACTGCATGACATCGCCGACTGGCATGCCGCGAGCCGCGATCCCAATACGAGAGACTTGGAGAACCACACGGGACACAGCAAACTTGCTGGAATTGACGCAAATTCAGCTTACAAGCATGCCTTACGGCAACCTGGAGCGCTTCTCTGGATTGCAAATACAGAAGGCCGTCACTATATCGGCAAGCTGCCGCCGATCGTGAGGGACAAAGAAGATAAAGGAGCGGCATCGAGGGCATTCTGAAGGCATTGTGCAGCAAAAAAAAGACGTCGGGGCAGCCAGAAGAGCAGATATTTCACCTTTTCACGCTTCTTTCATCACGGCTACTCGTGGTTATGAAGTCGAAGGCCCTCACAGCGCTGTGTCCCGCAGGAGCCTAGCCCGTCGAGAAAGCCGTCTTGAAAAGCCATGGTGAAGTCTTCAAGGGTCTGGCCAGTTCACCATTCAAACCGCTCATACACACACACAAGATCCACTAGTATCCAGGTGTGTTTCCTGGTAAATATCTTCCAGCAGACTCAGAAAGCCATGGTGTATACACATATTACGAGAACGAGCCATTCAGCAGGACGTTGCTCGATTCATCTTGATTTCTGACGCATAGATGGTATTGTACATTACTTTAATGAAATTCAAAATACCATGGCAGTATCAAGTTTTCGTGTCCTATTCCAATTCCTATATCCAAGCCAGCTAGCGGCTCTGGAATCACACCTCGTACTCCCGTTAGCCAAGGAATGGTGGACAGAAGGGATCGGAGGCTGAGTAATCGGGACACGGCTTCCTCTGAGCAGACTCTGTGCCTACATCAAGTCGGTAGATATCTAACTACATGAAGTATTGTTGTTGAATTGTATCGATTCATTGCTCTATCAAGTGTTAAGACCCGGATGCCACGATTGTAAGAATAGGGATGTAAATAGAAATGGAACCAAATCATTATCCTCTCGTTTTTACCCATTATCTGTCTCTTGTAAGATCCACGTAATCCAAGTCCCTCCTCGTATCGAAAAGAGCCTCGAGCAAGAAAATCCCTTAGGAATCAGAGCGGACGGAGATAGGATCCTATATCCGAGGCTTGGTCAGCCCAGTCTCAGTCTAGACATGAATTCCTGCGGTAAAAGGTTGCCCCGGTGGTATCTCAGGACGACTGACCACCAGCCTCCCTCTGTATTTGATCATGGGCTCGAAGTGGGACCGATTGAAACCTCGCGCTTTGTATTCGAGTTTGTTGTCAGCATGTCAGGAGGAAGCAGCTGTCATATCATCTCTTCAATGGCACGGGCGTTGGTATGGATCCAACCAAACCAAGGGGTTGGGCAGCAACGTAGACCATTTCGCTTGGGTCGATGCTGTCAGTCCATGGCATTAATTGCAATTGTCTGGTGAATATTGCGTAGGCCCTTCGAAGGAAACAACCCCAGCACTGGCCACTCTTTTGTATTCTCCCTCCCAGTTCTCGCTTTTTCCGTCTTGTCGTGAATATCATGCATGTCCCGGCGTGAGAATCTCGTGATCGGCGGTTATCGGGATGGGAAGGGATCGTTTAGTGTGATCTCTTGGTAAGAGGAGTACACTGTGCGTCTGACTATTGTATATCATAGGTAAACAACATGTGTGGCGTGAGTAGGGCCTGTATCCCAGCTTACCTGACTGGTAGCGCAGTTGGTGAGACAGACCGACATCAGAATGGAGTGCTGGAGTGCGGTTCAACTTGACTTGACGAAACTGCTGGGTTTTGTAGATCAGCAATCAGGCGAGGCTCAAATGTTGGGGTCAGGGACGCCAGAGGCGCAACTGCGGCTAAGGTACAAATTCCGAGTCAAGCCAGATCAGAAGATCGGTGAGGGAGAATGACTCGATTCTAGTATCTCGTCTGTATGAGAGCTTGGTCCGCGCTCGGGCGACTGGTACGGCCTGTAGCAGGCCATTGGCATAGTAGAAGGACATGTGGAAGAGAGTCGTGGTTCTCTGGTCACACGTCACACTTTACAAGAGTACCCAAGATGGCTCCAGTCCCAGGATATTGACCAAATATGGACCAGTTTATGGCTGGTCCAATTTGCGAGTGCTTAGGCTACGATCGATACTGGGCAGGCTTACTTCTACAAACTCGGATTCTCCGTAGAAGTACATGCAAAATCATTATGATATTATGACCAAAGAGCATATCACAGAAACGGTTATCTGTGGGGATCGATGGATGATTATACAAGTGGGTCTCCGATTGGTCCCTTGCAGGAATATATATCCAAGACCGAGAGACAGCCTGCATCTGTGACAAGGTAGCTCGAGAGGCCAGCAAGACTTAAATCAATAGGACTGTAGTATGAGAATGGAATTACCACAGTAATATATACAAGTAGAGCTCTCCAACGCATGTTTCATAGACATAAGAGAAATTAACTTTATATCAAGAGACCTCCTTTGTATTTGCAAACCACAGTAGCTCCACAAAGTAAGCCCAGGTAAGCCCGAAAAGCCTCAATCTATAATCTGATATACTATCCACTTCCATACACTCAAAGCTTAGACCCCTTCTTGCCTGTCACATTGGGCACCTCATCACCAGAAAGCAAGAAGTCCGGGTAAGACAGCTTACCACCAGAGGCACCGCCCGCTGACATGCGCCAGTTTGCGCCATCGACTGTTGATGCATTAGCACTTGCCTCCAAACATGGTCCACTGTAATCTTTTAACTCACCAACGAGTGTCTGTCCAGTAACGTAGCTGCCAGTGTCCGAGAAGAGATAGACTGTAGCATCGGCGATGTCACGGACGTGTCCGAAGCGACCCAGCGGCTGGGCCTTGGTATAGGCTTCCACGGCATCTGATGGGAGAAGGCGTTCCAGGCCCTAGAAAGAATGGTTACTTCAGATGCTTGGAGACTGAGGGCGAACGTCTACTTACCTCGGTCTGCCCGATAGGTCCGGGTGCGATAATGTTAGAAGTCATGCCACGAGGACCATACTCGATGGCAATGCTGTGGGACAGGGCATCAATGCCGGCTTTGGCGACTGACACGTGGGTCTGGAAGGGCAATCCCCGGTAGTGAATGGTAGCGCTGACGAAGATAATTCTACCGCCCGTGCCAATTGGTAATGGCTTGACTGAGGGGCTGTTAGTAACAGGACTCGAAAAATGTCGGTCGACTTGTGTGATGATTAACTCACGAGACTTGGAGTCCATTCTGTGCTTCTTTCCTGACTCCTTCAAGTAAGGCAGGGTAGCCTTCAGGGTGTTGTAAGATCCCAGGACATCAATATCCATGACAGACTTGAAGGCGTTGGCTGATAGTTGCTCGATGGAGGCGAGGAAGTTGCCCGCCGCTCCAGCACTGTCGAGGATTATTAGCACAAGAATCGAAATGACACTTCAGCTGGTGGTTGGTGTACATGACAAAATCAATACCTCCAAGCTCCTTGACACAGCGCTCGACTGCTTGCTGCAAGTTGTCGAGCTTGCGCACGTCCACAGAGCCAATGCCGATAACTTTGGCACCGGGCCGGGCAGTCGCAATGTCCTGAGCGACACGCTCGGTCTTCTCTACATTACGACCGATGATGCAGGCGTTGGCGCCGAGATGGACTAAAGCCCGAACTTGGGCGCTGCAGATGGTGCCGGCGCCACCGGTGCAGAACACCACCTTGTTTGCTGCGTCTGTTAGCGTGGTCATGGGACAGGGGTCTCGACGACTCACCGAAGATCCCATCCTTCCAGGAGTTGCTCAGATATTCTTCTTTAGGCAGCGGCATTGTTAATGTTGGAAAGAGTAGATTCAAGAATGCGTGGAGAGATGTGAATATAAAGGAGGTCCGTTGATGATACACCGTCGCGTTTTCCCCACAATTGGGTTGGACCTCGGCTTGTCGGGGTCAAGTATGCCCGCAAGGATTAGTGATACACCAAACACAGGGTTATCATGAGTATCTACTGTGTTGAACAGCGTTAAAATTAGAGACGATCAAGCTATGCTCGAATAATTAATTCATATCTCTATGTATCGGGGCAGACACTATATACATGTAACTCTAGCGTGGACTCTGTAGCTGTCGATCTGCAGGTACCGCCCGAATCCAACGTCTTTTCACTATAAAATTGAAGCCAGAATAGACAATCTGCCTCACTCATCCTATACAAAATACAAGCCACTCGAAGTATACAAAACAAACGCCGATTTTCCCTCTCAGCAGGATGAAGAACACCGCAACGCTGATTGGCTGGCGCGTTGGCTGACCGCGACGTCACCGAAAAATAACTCGTTCTGTTCTCGACAACCCCCGAATCACCTCAACGATCCCCATTTCTCGTCCACAGCGAGCCTTTGCACATTGCAATATCACCATGGCGTGCCCTATCAGCGTCACCAAGTTCGTCGGCACCGTCTCCCTCGGTCTTCTTACCGTACGTCAAAACCCCCAACCATACAATCTAACACTAACTCCCACAGGGTCTCTCCTACTCAACCTCCGCAATCACAATCCCAGCTCTCCAACTCCTCCCCACAGCAACAAGCGCCGCAGCTTCCCTAAACGAAGTCAAGCGCCTAAGCCGCCGATACGCCCTACGCCTCTCCTTCCTAACAAACAGCTGCTTCTGCTTCGCATGGTGTCTTTCATCACCACGTCGCCGACACCCATACATGATCTGGCTATGCACATTCTCCGCTGTCGCCGCCCACGGCGTTGACTTCTGGTTCAACCGCCACCTGGGCTTCAAGAACTGGGCCTCCGCTGTCATCCGCGACGTCTCGCATTTCTCGTTGGTCCGGGACTCGGCTACGAAGAAGGACGAGGATCTTGTCGTTGTCGAGGCTGAGAGTGATCTGAATGGTGAGACTGTTCAACGGGAGATGGAGCGCGAGCGCCGTTTGCACCGGGCGCGCGCTTGGTTGTCGGGTATTGCTCTTTCGATTGGTATTGTTGGGCTGTGGGGGGACCGGAAGTGAGATGGGTCTGAGATTGTGAGGATATTTTCCTTTTGTCATAATATTATGGGGTTTCCTGGGATGGGGATACACTGGTTGTTGTCTCCTTGCCTTTTTTCTTGTCAAATGTTTTTGGAGTACTGATTCTTTGGCCTTGACAAAAGAAATGAATACTTTCCTGTCTTCTTGTGCACTTCGGTTTCTTGTACATGATGAAATCAACGTTAAATCTTCGATATTCAGTGCCAATCTGGTGACGATATGACCTGGTTCATTGTAGTCCCATCTCCCGTGAACTCTGAATACCCGAGGTGTACATACCTAGCAGCCAATCGAGTCACGCGAAGTGAAGCTTACCGCGTGTATCACTCTGGGGATGTGGCGGTGGGGGTGGGGGTGGATCGGGGAAACGATACCCCAATTCTTGAGTTTCTACTGGAGTAGACGATCACTATAAAAGAGCAGAGTATATCCATATTCACATACGAGCAGTCGATCCAGAACCAACTCGTCATCATGTACACCCAACTCATCCTCCTCCTCCCCCTCCTCCTAATAACAATCCAAATCCTACTCCGAATAACCGAGTCCCTCACATCCCCTTTAAAGAATATCCCAGGACCATTCTGGGCGCGCTTCAGCAATCTCTGGTACTTCAACCGTATCCGCCGTGGCCAATTCGAACATGACAATATCAAGCTGCACAAGAAATATGGTCCGATTGTGCGGGTTGCACCAAATCACTACAGTATCAGTGATACAGCTGCTATTAAAACTGTCTACGGTACGGGCTCTAAGTTCCCCAAATCTGCTTGGTATGATGGATGGAAGCATCCGGCTCAGTGGACTGTTTTTGCGGATCGGGATATGAAGAGACATGGTATGTTTTCGATGCTTTCGGTTCTTTGAATCGATAGCTTTGGATTAGTTATCTGACTTGTAGGTCCTACATTAATTTAGCCAATACCAGGAAACGGTTCACCAGCTTATACTCCATGAGCTCGTTGGTAAACTACGAACCCTTCGTGGATCATTGCGCAGAGCTGTTCATGACTCATTTGAACGAGTTCTCAGATAACGGGGCGACATTCAACCTCGGACACTGGTTCCAATGCTACGCCTTCGATGTCATCGGAAACATCACATTCGGAGAACGCTTCGGTAAGTAACGTTATCCACCGTCAACCCCTTGAATAACCACAGAAACAACCCACTAACCCGCACAAAGGATTCCTAGACCGAGGCCACGACATCGACGGCACAATTGCAGCCCTCCAAAAAGTAATCATGTACAGCACACTAGTCGGCGTCTTCCCAGAATGGCACCCACGCCTCTTCAAACCGCTAAGCAAGCTAAAATGGTCCGGCGCCGGTGGCCGCGCATACATCAGCAAATTCGTGCAGGACAAGATCAGCGCACACGAGCAAAAAGCCCAAACCCAAACCCAAGACGCCGAAAAAAATGAAACACAATCCCAACCCCAAGATTTCGTGGACAAACTCATGCTCGCCCGACAGAAAGAACCGGAGAAAGTAACAGACTACCACCTCTTCATAATGGGCCAATCAAACGTGACAGCGGGATCTGATACAACAGCTATAAGCCTATCGACGATAATGTGGCATTTGATGCACTACCCAGATGTGCTGCAAAAGCTACGCGAGGAATTAGATGAGTTCACGGCCCACGGCCGGTGCAGCTCGCCTATCACTTTCAAGGAAAGTCAGGAAATGCCCTATTTCCAGGCTGTTATGAAAGAGGCGCTGCGCATGCATGCTGCTACGGGTCTTCCTATGTGGAGGACTGTTCCTGATGGCGGAGCGGAGATTAATGGGCGTTTCTTTCCTGGTGGGACTGTTGTTGGGGTTAATACTTGGGTTGCGCATTATGATGAGACAGTCTTTCCGGATGCGGGGGTTTTTCGGCCGGAGAGGTGGATTGAGGCTGAAGATCAGCCTGAGAGGTTGAAGGTTATGAATCAGATGTATATGCCGGTGAGTTTTGGACATGCTATGTTTGTGTGTTTCTTTGGTTTGCTGGCTGACTCTTTCGATTGTAGTTTGGTCTTGGTTCGAGGACTTGTCTTGGGAAGCATATCTCTATTTTGGAGATGTCTAAGCTTATCCCTCAACTTGTGCAGGAGTTTGATTTTACTCCGTTGCGGAAGACATGGCGTACGGAGAACTTTTGGTTTGTTAAGCCTGTCGATTTTGAAGTTCGGGTGCAGCGGAGGGCCGGAGTCCGGTAGTATGAGATGGGTGTATGAAGCTTCTATGAGGAAGTGATATATGATCTGATATTGTAAATAGCTATCATCAAACCATCCCCAAATTCATTCTTCGATACTCCATGATCAATCCATTGACATCTCCCATATCTGTGTGGTCATATCTTGATGCCTCATATGTATCTTCATTTTCGGTCTGGGCATCGTCCTCTGCCGAGATGATCTTGGCGGATTTAATCCGCGCCAAATGCCAGAATTCCGATGCGTGGCGGAGAAAACCAACGAGTTTCCATATAGTTTCGGGTGTCTCGGGAATATCGATGTCTTCTGGTATTCTTTTATCCCAGATTCGTCTCCAGTTTTCAAGACCTGTCTGCACCGGGGCCAAGGTTGTCTCAAAAATGAGAGAGTTCTGTAGGTGGAACATGAGAGAATGGATGGCTTGAACCATTGTGAATAGATTCAAAGTCCCAATTTTAGAGAACTCTTGAACCAAGTCTTCATTGATTTCAGCCTGACAAATCTGCCGCACAACTGACACGATCGATAGTCTGTTTCGCCAGAACCGAGTCTCGGTCCATTGTTCGAAATGTGACAGGCATTCGGTTGCTGATTCGGCCTGGAAACATGCCTCTGGGCAAGAGACATCCATCTTTAGTTCGGAGACCATTAATCGAGGTGGTGAGTTGTGGAATATGACAAGTGCTGCATCGATGAGAAAGACGAATATAATTGTTCTGGTATAATTAGTATCCCATTGCTTGATCTGCAGTAAAAATTCGTATTGGCCATACCTCATCATTTCCTCCTCTTCCGCAAATTGTTGCCACCACGCTTGCGAACTATCATGGACTTTCAGGTGTCTATGGGAGGCATTCCCAATTCCAACATGTCTTGCAAGCTGTTTAATAATTACATTAGCACACTGATAGGTGGTATGATCATGGTATCAAGGCTTCACTCACAGTTACCATCGACGCATGGCGATACCGTCTAATCCTGGCCTGCGCCTCCCCGGGACCTTCTCGCTTCTGTAGCGAGCAGACTAGATATCCAGCCTGTATACTCTGTAGTCGCTCCTTCTTCCACTTCGAGTCATTGTTTCTGGGTGAAGAATTATCCCGGAAGCACTCATGCGAAAAGATAAGTTCCTCAATGCTATCAAGCCACTTCCTAGCCGCCTTGCTGTCCTCTTGATAGGGAGATAGACATGCACCAATAACTGTCATCACAGATAGCAACCCAGGAGTCGCGGTGTGCGGATTGAAAAGAGGCTTGTGGATAATAGGGCAATTCGGATACCAGAGAGACCAGAAGTATTCTAGGAAACGACGGATATTTGGCGTTGAGAAGAATATCTGGCACTGGTCATGAGTTTCAGATGACCAGTCAAATGTGATCACATCGTTGTTTCTTTTATTGCAAATGATATTCCGTAGGCTTCGCATCAGCTCCAGGGACTTGGGGGCTAAAGTATCAGACACTATTATCGGAGGTACTTTTTGGTTTGTTTTGGAGACTTGTCTCCTTTTTGAGGTAACTTTGTCCTCATAAGCATCTGCAACCAATTTCTGTCTCCATCGGAACGATTCGCGGTCCGTGAATGTGGACATTCCCATTGAACTGGTGAAATATGCAAGATACTCTAGCTTCTCAGCTTGGATAATATCTGAAGTTATCTGTGAGGAGAAGAGAAGATCTAAAGTCGAGAAGTCGAGAGGTGAGGGCATGCTTTGCAATAAATCGTGTGTCGGGTCAAGGGATGGGTCTGAAAAAGAGATATTCTCATTTGAATGATATGAGAGATTGTGTTCATTCTGCAAATGCGGCTCAGATGATATGTTGGCAACTTCGCTTTCATTTTCGAAAGAAAGGTCACTAGGGACTGTTGAGAGGTCAAAGGGAGATAGGACAGAGCCAAGGACCTGGGGATCATTCACGGTTGGTGATACTGCATTTCCGTGTGTTTCTATTGCAAGACACACTCGTTTGGGCTGGTGTATCTCATCTGGATTGACATATTCTTGGTGTTCAGAGTGGCCCTCAGCCCTGAAGGAGCCACGAGACTTGCAAGTCCTCTCATGGCGGCGTAGTGCATCGCTGAATTTCAAAGGTGAGTTCACTGACCTTACTTGGTATACCTTAAGCTCGCACACACCTGCGTTTGAAAGAGTTCCCACATGATGTACAGACATGAGGTCGGGCATTGTCGTCTAGCATATGTTAATACTTGGTCATTCTCTGGATGGAGAGATATACGGGATGCTGAGTGGCGCTTCAGATGCTCTGGTCGACTAAACGTCGTAAAGCATACGTCACAGGACCATTCGTCCATGTTTACATGTTAGAGCATTGAGACTTGACGAGGTGAAGTTCGACTGCAGATCGACTCGGGTAAAGTGGGGAGCGTAAGTGCGGGGGAACCAAGCAAATACATACTTCTAATGTGAACTTAATAAGTTGGTTACTTATAGTTGGTTACTTAGTTGATGTCGTTGTATTTGCTCTATTAACTTGCACTAGATTTGTTGGACTTAGTCATACTGGTCGCATTACACACACGCTAAGGTCAATTACTGTCTCTCCTATCTGCCTAATTTTGTCGTTAATATCGCTTCCACACCAGCGACAGACCCTGAAATGAGCCTTGTGTCTAAGCCAATGAACAAAGAGACCAAATTAATTAATCCCACGCTAAGGATAGCAGCGGATCCGTCGGAAATGAGGCCCTTGGCGCCATTTCAATAAAAGCGAAAGGAACATCACGTTTGATTTCTACGCAAGGACGTCTAAAATAATTCAGACATGGTCGATTTCACTATCGTCAACGGCCAAGTCTACACGCCAGGCCTGGCAATTATCGATGCCCCGCAGCCCGACACACCCCTTGGCGGAGGTAAGTCAATAAGTCAACACAAGCCCATTGTCTCCTTAACTACCAAATATCTAGACAATCTCCAAGTTGCAATCGACGTGTCAGGAAACGGCCAACTCCCATGGCCACCATCCAGCGACACCGACTCATCAACCCTTTTCCACGACATCAGACTCTTCTTGACCTCCGAGTCACTCTCTCACAACTTCACCATCTCAAATGGCACAACACCATCCACTAACACAAGCTACGTCGGCCCAGTACTAGGCCTCGAGCCATCATCGACCGTCAAACACGTGAACTGGATCTGGCCCAAGTGTCTCGTCGGCGATGGCTCCGATTCAAAGAGCGACTCAGATCGGGGCGCATATAACATCTCCATGCACCAGTCTTTCCGCTGGAACGGAACCGACTACTATACCGTGTTTCAGCTTCCCATTTCTGTTACAAGCAGCATCTCTGACAGTGATGAGCGGGTTGACTGCGCTTTACTGGAAAACGAGGTCCTGAGCGTGGCAGAGGTTGATGAGAGTTCGGATTCCCTACCTGGACAGCCGTGGGTTGACGGAGTCAGTACGACAGATTCGAGTGCCCTGCCTACACAGACGGGTATGGGCCTTCGCAGTCATTCGGGTTCGAGACGAATGGCCGGCATTGCGATTGCGGCGACGACGATTCTACACTTCCTGAGTTAAGGAGAGAACAGTTCTTGAATACCATCCCTTGTATACTATTATTTGTTGTTGTCTTGAACTTAATGCGGAGACCCTTTTTCCCACAAGAACAGCCACTGCTTCACACGAAATTATCGCAAGCTTTATGAGTACTCAGGATTATGCTGAGCCTTCCATAACTCACTTCTTTATCGTTGATTTTCGCCGGTCTCTTCATGTGGAAGACAGATCGAGCATGCAGCCTTGTTTGAAGTATGCACCCTCGGATGATATTACGAACCCCTTGATTCACCACCTGTCTCTCCCAGAAATTCCACGTCTCCGCTAACAGCAGAGAAATGCCATTCCAAAAATCAAATTCACCATGTCAGAGAACTCCAACCGTGGGCGTATACCAACCAACCCCAACCCAATATACGAGCCTCGCGCCTAAACCCCCATGACGCTCCTTTCTACCTATAGACGCCCCCTCACCAGAAGAGCCCTCCGATCCCGCCTAACCCGAGCCCTAATAATAATCTTCATAATATGGAACCTAACAGAACTACACCTAATCCAACACCAAACAAATACCTCAGAAGCCAACAAACCCCACCACGTCCCCAAAAGCAAAGAACGAATATACATAGCAAGCGTGAACTGGAACAACGAAGCCATTCTCCGCAGCCACTGGAGCCGCGCCCTCCTAGACCTATCTTCGAAACTCGGACCGGAGAATATATTCATCAGCATCTACGAGAGCGGCAGCTACGATAATACGAAAGGAGCATTGAGAGAGCTAGACTGGGAACTTGAGCGGCTGCGCATTCCCCGGAATGTGACGCTCTCGCCTGTTACGCATGAGGATGAGATTACGGCGCCTGCGCGGGGTGAGGGGTGGGTAAAGACGGTTGGGGGTGGAAAGCAGCTTAGGCGGGTTCCTTATTTGGCTCGCGTGAGGAATTTGGGGTTGTTGCCTTTGTATGATCTTGCTAGGCAGGGGATTACGTTTGATAAGATTTTGTTTCTGAATGATGTTGTTTTTACGGTGAGTTTGGTACTTGTTGTTTTAACTGTATGGATGTATGCTAATTATTGGCTCTGATGCATCAGCCAAGTGATGTTTTTGAACTTCTTGATACTAATAATGGTGAATATGGAGCGGCTTGCTCCTTGGATTTCTCCAAGCCGCCGACTTACTATGATACGTTTGCGCTCCGCGATATCAAGGGCCATGAGGCCGTCATGCAGACTTGGCCTTTTTTCCGTACTGCGGAATCGCGACATGCGATGAAAAATCTGTCTCCGGTTCCGGTGGCTAGCTGCTGGAATGGCATGGGTATGTATCTCTCCATCTAGAGATATCTACACAAACTAAATAGAATATAGTGGCAATGCCTGCAAGTCCATTCCTAGCCAAGTCACCACTACGGTTCCGTGGTATCCCAGACTCACTAGCGGACTATCATCTCGAGGGCTCTGAATGCTGTCTCATCCACGCAGATAACCCTTTATCCAAAGAAAAGGGGGTATACCTCAACCCTCGGGTTCGGGTTGGTTATAACGGCCCAGGATACACGGCCGTTAATCCAATAACGAACTGGCTGACTGCAAAGAGTATTTTACAGGGGCTATGGATCAATCGACTACGCCGCTGGAGTATCACTTCTTGGATTAAAGAAGAAGTAGTACGACGGCGGGTGGATAGTTGGAAAGCCCTTAGTCATAAGAATGAGGAACCGGGTCAGTTCTGTATTATCAATGAGATGCAAGTCCTGCGTCGATATGGGTGGGCTCATGTATGATATTTAACGCGCAATATACACGTTCTACAACTCCCAGTTAACTAACTTGTGCATTACAGCACATGGAATTTCAGTAAAATCCTCTAGCGTACTCTTGTAAGCCAATTTTTGGCAATTGGCTTATTCAGCCTTCGTGGTCTAGTTGGTTATGACGTCGGTCTCATATATCCTTTCTTATGACATTCTTGGTAACAAGATTGACATCCGAAGGTCTCCAGTTCGAACCTGGACGAGGGCATTGTTTTTGGGCTTGGTGGATATGCATTGGAGCTAATTGGCCTGTTAGCGCGGCGAGGGAAGAGTTGTGGGGAGCTCTTTTTTTACAGAAAATTTACTAGAGTACGGAGTATATGGCGCGATAACATTTTATTAAGCTTATTATATTTTATATACATTTGAGCACTTTGTCTATAGGTTGCCCTTGGTAAGTAGTTGCCTCCGTCCGTAGACACAGATCCATCTAACTTCTTCCCCCTGTGTCTTCTCTTATAATGCACCTCACAGCACAGATGGTGGGATACATAGTGCCGTAGATCCTCGCTCCATAATATGTATCCACAAATCACACAGCACTCCTCTCCGACTTCCCTTCATCCAAAGAATCAGCCTCAGCGGGCACAGCAGGTTTAAGCGGCTGCACCGGCGCCGCCGGTGGCTGCGGCGCAATCCAAAAGACAGGATACCTCCTCTGAACATTATTCAAAAGCAGCGCACAAACCAACAATAGCGCAGAAGACAACAATACAATCGGCAGATAATACCAAGAGAGATTCCAGATCTCATCATTAGTAGCCGGCAGCAGTGCAGTCGCACCAGCAGGCGGATGAGTAGTGCCCGTCAACTGCATAACAACAATAGCAATAGCAGTCGAAAGCGACGCCGCCAGCCAGCGGAGGGACTCGAAACGCTCCTGGTCGGACATTAGGCTGAATAGTTTTGTGACGCAGACCCCTGTTAGGGCGCTGAAGAAGTGGCCGAAGACTAGGGCGCGTGGTTGAGCTAGGGGGCTTTCAATTGCGCCGAAGACTAGGACTGCCGATGCACCCTGTTTTTTTTTCTGTTAAAATGCGAACATGGATATGGATATTTGTATTGAGTTGGGGTGTTATTGTTTGGTCGGTTTACTTACATATGAAGCGATGATACCCGGGACATTCCGTTCATTGAAGTAATCGGAGTAATTGAAGATTGCCTGGACGACAGATAGACCGCAGAACGCAGTTATGAAAGACCATACGGCAACGAGATATGTGTTAAGTGGCTTCACGGGTTCTGCGCGATAGCCTAGCCAATGGCTGATCCACCTAGGGAGACGGGCGAGACGCGAAGGGGCCATGGTGGAAGACCGCTAAGCGGCTATAGGTATAGAAAACAAAAAATTAAAGTTAAGCTTAATGGCTTGGTACTGGCTTGGATATCAAGGGAAGAGAAGGAGATCTTAAAGACCTGGCGTGCGCGCTAATTCCGGGCCGTGAGGGGGAAAAAAAAGAAAATTGGAGAAATAGTTGGAGATCAAGACGGTCAGATTGTATTTTTATGACAGGACCAGGTATTGACGCTGGCTCTGGTAATTCTGATTGGATAGCTACTGGGGAATAGCGGGAATATGCGGGGATTCCTGACTAAATTCCCATAATTCATACCAGGCAGTTTCTATGACACATAGTTATGCGGCTCGGCCAGGTCCGTCTTCCATTGTGACTCTATATGCATATCTGACAATAGACTATACATTTTCCTCCAAGCCATGCACTAAGTCTCGGTCCACAATATGAGACTCTCCAAGAGTACCCTTCATAACAAGCACCAGATCATCAACCGCCGCCAGGAACTTAAGGTAAGCACTAACAGCCACGCAGAACCGGCGATAATTC